CAGGAAGCAGGGCTGCTTCTATACCACCGAGACAGAGAGGAATACTTACGGAACTCAGATGATCCATGTGGACTCCAGGGATGCCCAGTTATAACTGTGAATGGGCACATGCAGCAACATTGGCCTGAGAAGCTCAGACACTGCAGAAAGGAAAGTTTGGGTCACACCACCAGGTAAGTCACAAAGACCTGCAGAGATTCTAGCTGAATGTGAGTGGAATTTAAAATAGACAGTCAAGAAGGGAAATCATGAGTATCAGTTGTGACCAAGTGAAGCTACAGGGACTGTAGTTTGTCCCACTGTCCTCCCTGGGGAAAAGAGGCTGAGAACAATAAGGGAGCACTCCCAAACCTATGCTGAGAAGCACACCTGTGGGTGCCATGGAGTGGCCTGTGGAGGCCAGGTCAGATCACTCCACAGGCGAACACTCCCGTTTCCTCTCCCTTACCCTTCTTTTGCACACCCAATCCCATCGTGGTTTCTGCTCCTAGGAAAACCAGAAATGACGCAGTTAGCACCAGCAGTAGCCCAAGACGAGAGGTAAGAACATGGGGTTTGGGAACTGGTTCATTCACTGCCCAGCAGGCAAAGAGCCCTGAGTGGAACATGGGGCAAGGATGATGCCTTGTACAAGGTGCAAGCCCAACGCTTTCCAGCGGTGACCTGGGAAAACAACCTGTTTAAGGGGAACACCTGGCTAGTGCAATGACTCAGGCATTTGTAAAATATGGGGGGAACCATGCTATAAAGGTAGGCAAGAAAGCATAATGATGAAAGGAGCAATTCACCAGGAAGCTAAAACAATGCTAAGTTTGAATACACCAGCAGTATAGTCCATTATATAGTCTGTTTTTAAAATAGAAGGGAAAATCAACAGAATTATAAAGGAAAGTTAGCAAATGTACAATCACAGAGGAAATTTTGACACCCCTCTTTCAAAAGTGATGGTAGTAACAGTTTTAGAAAATTTAAAGGCTAATTGATTGCTATTAGGTACCATGAATTATTCTAAATACTTTACATATTTTAATTCATCTATTCTTCACAATAACCCTATGAGATAAGTACTCATGTTACCTCGGTCACAGATGAGGAAACTGAAGCTAAAAAGATATTTTTAATGGCCCAAAGTTAACTAGTAAGTAGCAGAACCAAGATTTAAACCCAGGTGGTTTGACTAGATATTTCTTATTTTCTTACAAGCTCATCTATGTATGTAAAAAGATGTTTATCTGGAAAAACTATAGAATCAATAAAAAGATCAGTGGTTGGGGATGTGGGAATGAATAGGCAGAGCACAGAGGACTTTTAGGGCAGTAATAATACTCTATATGATATTATAATAATGGATACATGTCATTATACATTTGTCCAAACCCATAGAACATACAACACCAAGACTGAAACCTAACGTAAACTGTGGACTTAAAGTGATAATGAGGTGTCAATGTAGGTTCACCTTTGGTAAAAAATGTACCATTCTGATGAGTGATGTTGACAATGGGGGCGGCTATGTATGTGATGTTTAGAGGCAGAGGGTGTAGGGGAAATCTCTGTACCTTCCTTTCAATTCTGTTGTAAACAAAAAACTGCTCTAAAAAAATAGTCTTTTATATATTTTTCTTATTTTATCCAACATTTCTAGGTATCTAGCAACAGGAGAATTTTTGGTTTTCTTGTCCTACATATGCTGGAAATAAAAGCACTAACAACTGCTTTACAGTTAAATTTTTTTTTCTTTTAATTATTTCAAATGAGCCACTGTCTTGTTTAGGGTATTTCAAATGACAGCCTTAAATCTTTTTGTACCACTGTGCTTAGATCACTGAGACATGAGCCTCATCTTCAAGATGTTTGGTCTTAGTGGAGGGCACAGTCAATAAATAAAAATAGTACCTTTTGAAAATTATAGCAGTAGCGATATAGGAGACCAAGATCTACAAATAGTAGGGTGAGACCAACTCTTCTATAGAGGGTGGTCCAGAAAAGCTCATCACAGAGGAAGTGATATTTATTTTAAAAAAAACTCTATTTTTTCCTAATCATAAAAATAATAATGTATGATCCTTTAAAAAAATTGAAATAATACAAAAATTGTGAAGAAAAAAGTAACAAGGTAATTTAACTCCTACCATCCAGAAGTAATCATTATTAACCTTTAATTGAAGAATATACCCATCAAAAAAGAGTGCTGGGAATAGTTAATAATATCTGGCATGATCACAGAGTGATACTATGTATATGTATATGTATGTAGGTATAAAATATATTTTATGTATATGTATAGAATACATATATTGTGTGTGTGACAAATATACGCCATCCTGTTCTATATGTTTGCATACACAGTTTTATACAACTTATTTTATAATTTGTTCTTATATAAATTTTGTAAAATTAAAGACATTTTTTATTCCTGAGTTCTTCTCTCTTTTTATTAATCAGTCTTGCCAGAGATTTGTCTATTTTATTCATATTTTCAAAGAACCAACCAAAAAAGCATATAGTTGGAAATTTAAAGCACACATTTAAATAATTCATGGGTCAAAGATGAAATCATATTGGAAATTAGAAAATACTTAGAACTAAATTACAACAAAACTACAAACTTATGGGATGCAACTAAAGAAGTGATTAAAGTGATACTGTATCTCAAAATTAATAAATCAAGCATTTATTAATAACTCAAGAAATTAGAAAAGGGACAAATGAGTAAACCCAAAGAAAGTAGAAGGAAATAAACAAAAGTTAATGGAAGAAAATTTCAAAAATGGAGACAATCTTCAAAAAGTGCCAAAAGTTGGTTCTTTCAGTGTATGAATAAAAAAGACAAAGGTTGAAGGGGAAAAAAAAAAAAGGTTGGCAAGAAAAAAAGATTTGGCAAGATTGAAGAGGAAGCGGGGGTGGGGTGGGGGAGATATCAGGAATAAAACAGAGAACATAACTACAGATACAGTCAGAACTTTTTAAAAATCACAAGTGAATATAAATATTATGAGCCTTGGACAGAAAGGGCAGTTTCCTAAAAGTTGTAACTTACTAAATCTGACTCAAGAAGAAACAGTAACCTGAAGAGGCCTGTAACTACTAAAGACATTGAATGAGTAGCTTAAAATATAAATACTATAAAACAGTTTTTGGCTCTTATAGTTTAATAGCACTTTCCCTCTTGGGATAAGGAATGCCAAAGTGTCCTCCTACGTTTCAGTGGGGTTGGAGAGGTTCCAAATATCTCTGCTGATAGGGGCTGCACTTCAGGGACACAATTAAAATGACTCAGAGAAGCTGAAATTGCTCCTACGATGGGCCACCCCTTCAGGTCAACTTATGTACTTAGGGCATTAAGAATGTCTTAAACAATGGAATGTCGCCTCTCCTCCTCAGCGGAAGGTTGGGGGAAACATACCACTGGTTTTCAAACAGTTTTGAAACAGTAGACAAACTAGCTGGTGTTAAGAAAGCAGCTTCGAAGAGATACAAAATGTGAGACTTTTTACAGAACTTGGGGCCCACTGAAGTGTGAGAGCTAAAACAAACAAACAAACAAAGTGGCTAAATTTTTGCATAGGCTTAAAAAGGCCTGGGATGCATTCAGACCAAAAGTACTGGGCACAGGATTTTAAATTCTCAGAGTGAGTCAAAGGGTCCACTGCACTAATTTTTCTGGAAAAGCACCGGTAGCCTTTCAGATCCTGACGCGCATCCGTTCCGGGGTACCTGGCCCCATTCCCGAGCTTCTGAACCCACTCGCAGGCTGGAAGCCACAGTTCCAGCTTACTTCCTGCAGAGCCGCGAGCAGTCGCCCTCCGTCCTGGCAGCGTCCAGAGTCCACGCAGCCCTCCCGGCCCTCGGGCCCCGCAGCGACCCACCTCCTCGGCGTCCTGGCCCAGGGGGATGCCCAGGCTCTTGAGCCCCTCCTGCAGCTCGCAGATGTCCACCACGCCGTCCCCGTTGCGGTCCAGCTTGTGGAAAAGGGTCTCGTAGCGCGTCGGCGGCTCCGCGTCCTGGCAGGCCGCCGCGGGCAGCACGACGCCCCGAAGCCAGCGCAGCATGGTCCCGGAGGCGCGGGCCGGCCCAGCCGAGGGAGGTCAGGGGAGCCGAGGGCTGCTCGGGCGCGAGGCCTGGCTGTAAGGGGCCCGCGGCGCACAAGCTGAAAAGAGCCAAGGCCCCACCCGAGCTCGGCTCGGTGCACGGGGAGTGGCCGCTCCCGCTACTGCCTGGGGAGGAGCTCGCCAGGCGCCGGCCTCCCCGATAGGCGCGGGGGACGGGCTAGGCGCTGACTGGAGCGGGCAGGAAGTGAAAGGGTTGCAGGGTGCGGCCCGGGAGGGGCTGTGGGACCTGGGAGGTGAGCTCTGCGGCGTCCCTAGTGGAGCTGTCAGGGTTGCGGCCCGAGGAGCCGTCCCGGGAGGTTGTGGGATTCTGCATCAGCGTATTAAAGGTGGGGCGGAGGACGGAGGAGGGGGTGGTGGTGAACAGGAGGAATGAGGGAGCAGCTGGAAGCTCAGGTTACTTAACTTCAAGCTCCCTTCCCTTCGGGCTTGGTACCCTGGCGAACTGCCCAGAAACAGTCCTCTCTGCAGGGACACTGGGCCTTCTCGGGCTTTGTCTCGCACAGATCGCGCACTTTTTCGTGCAGCTCCACGGACACTACACATCTCTGGGACTGTTTTCTTTTCTTTTCTTTTTTTAACATCTTTATTGGAGTATAATTGCTTTACAATGGTGTGTTAGTTTCTGCTTTATAACAAAGTGAATCAGTCATACATATACATATATCCCCATATCTTTTCCCTCTTGCGTCTCTCTCCCTCCCACCCTCCCTATCCCACCCCTCTAGGTGGTCACAAAGCACCGAGCTGATCTCCCTGTGCTATGTGGCTGCTTCCCACTAGCTATCTATTTTATGTTTGGTAGCGTATATATGTGGGACTGTTTTCTATTCACAAAAAATGAGAGAGTTGGGTGGCTGCTCACTTGGGATGGGAATTAAGCTTTAAGAAGCAGAGGAGTTAAATCTGAAAGCAATTAAGAAACAAAAAGGAACACTTAAAACTAATACGGTATCATATAATTATAGCTCCACAAAACTGGGGCGTGGGGTTGGGGGGGCACTCAAGGGTCTTTTGCAGAAACTATCAACATCCATCCAGTGGTAAAAAAGAGGGATTACTTTGCTCTATAGCTTAGTTAGTGTGATCTGCTCAGATAAATCTTAGGAAGCATCTGCCATCAGCACTTATTAGGAAAACCTCAGGCCCCTCCCTCTCAAGATGGATGCAGCTACAAGGCTTGGGGTTTATTGCCCAGGAAAGACAGAAATTCTTACTGCATAACATGAGATAAGCAAAGGAAGAGTGGACCTCCAGAGAAAATACCAGACAGGGTCCTAATCCTTCAGCTGTGTAAACTTGGAGATGTGGCATAACCTCCCTGGGTAGCCTCTCTCCTCAGTAAAATGAGAGTGTGAATATCTGCCTCATAACAACAAGGTTGTATATTGTATGTGAAAGATCTTAACACTCTCAAGTGCCAATCAGATGAGATATTAATTGTAATAATTCTCTGTTCATCCACAGCTGCTTATAGAAACTATCACAGTGTTCCTGTTACCTGCAGGAGATACAGATCTGTATTTGTACTATAAATAAGGATCTGCCCACGTTTTCTGAAACACTAAACAAAAACTAGTTCCAACAAAATCCAGGAACTCAGACCTTGAATTTACTTCCCCTCATACTATTTTATATATTTAAGACATATGCAAATCTAGAGTTTGTAAACTGAGGACTGCTTGTTGAGTAAAATCATCTTGAAACCAATTTGTTTGCTTATTTTACTTACAATTTCCAGTTTTGTTAAGAATTATCCTCTTCCTTTGGAAAGGCTTTCAAACGTCATCAAATTTTCTATCCGTCTTTAGAAACCTCTTTCAATCACCTGCGATGAACACTCTGTACTTGAAGAGAAGCTGCTTGAAATGGTCATCTCAGACTTAAATATTTTTCTTCTTCTTTTTCTTTTCTTTCTTTCTTTCTTTTCTTTCTTTGGAGTAAATAGAGGAATTACCTATCAAAATTTTGACTGAGAAAACTTATGTTCACACAAAAACTTGTACAAGAATGTTTATAGCAGTTTTCTTCATAATTGCCAAAACCCAGAAATAAGCAACATTTCTTAAATGGGTGAATAGATAAACAAGCTGTGTTACATTCACACAGTGGAATACTACTCAGCAATAAAAAGGAATGAACTGATGAATGCAACCATACATTACATGACATTCTAGAAAAGGCAAAACTATAGAGACAGAAAACAGATCAGTGGTTGTCAAGGGCTGAGGGACAGGGAGGGAGTGATGGAACTGTTCTGTGTTTTGATTATGGTGGTGTTTATGCAACTGTATGAACTTGTTAAAATGCACAGCACTGTGCACTCTCTGGAAATATACCTCAATAAATCTGACTTAAACATAAGTAAAATGGAATAAGAATTCTTGGCTCAAAAGATCACTGGGAAAATCAAAGTAGCTTATGAAGTACATAAACTTCAAGACTAGCTACAGAAAAGCGTGGTTGCAGACCAGCAGCATCAGTATCACTTGAGAGCTTGTTAGGAATACAGAATCTCAGCACCACCACCCCAGGTCTACTAAGTAAGAGTTGCACTTACACAAGAGCCTCAGGTGATCTTTCACACATTCAGGTTTAAGAAGCTCTGCTACCATTCAAAGTGTAGTTTGCACACTGGTGCCAGACTGCAGGCTGTTACCTGTTCACAACAAGGTAAATCAGAGATTAAGAGGAAGCATTTAGAAACTTTACAGCAGTTTGATAATTTCCTATTTGTTGAATCTAGTACATAAAAAGAAAACCTCAAGGCTTGTCTTTTTGTTTCAATTTTCTAATAATTCATTTTTAATTTTTTAAATAAAAGTATCTGTCTGCAGTGAGTTAAGAAAACACTGTTACCACACCTAATAAAGGTATAATTAACAATAGCAACTTCAAGCATGAGAAAAGAAAATGTTACATAGATATTTAAACATCTGCATGAGAGAGGGCATCCCTACCCACTTGTATGCTGGTAATTCTCAAAGACCAGTGTTTCTACAGAGGTCAAGAGCAGAAACCCTGAACTCATTCACTTCCTTAGCCCAGTTGATTTCCGTGGTCAGGACAGAAGTCTGGGGTTCAGCTTGCTTCCATTTTTTCCAGCATCTAGCCTTCTCAAGTACTACTGTCTTCCACTGGAACAACTTTTGAGCTTAATTTCATCTACTTTGGTCTTCAAAGACCTCTTTCAACACCTACTTTGAATACCATATAGTTAGGGGGATCTGCTTGAAAAATCGTTCTAGATTTTCAGAGTTTTAGCTGGTAAACAAGTTTACCCTTTTTATTTACTGGAACACTTAGTTTCAATAAGACCAAAGTCTCAGCTGGTCCACAAAGACCTGATCCTATTTCAAAATCCTGGTCATTGCTGTCTCAAATTTAACTGATCACAAAGAGGGCTAAGAGTTTGATTGGCTCACTGTAAAACCATCACTGGAAAGACAATTTTATCATACAATGAGTTTTAAATTTGAATGTTCTTGTAGTCTTTAGGGAAACACTAATCATTTTAAGTTTTGACTCATTTATAACATTAAGATAAGTGGATATTCTCCCCAGGTTTTCCAAGGCATTTAGGAGACAGAAATCCAGATAACAAGGTGAATTCTGTCTCTTGCTCAGCCTATCCACTATCTCCAATCCCCTAAAAGGTAAATGCAGACAACTCTCAATCACAAAAACATGGCACTTAATTACTGAAAAACTGCCATTATTATTGAATCATGTAAATAATTCCCATTTCAAACCAGTTGTGTCAAATTCAAACTGGATTCAAAACCACATACCTCATCACTTTGAAAATAATTATGTGAAAGACTGTGTTCAGACCATCTTCAGTTTGTGAACATTTGTGTAAATTTTGTCCTGAAGACCAATAGATTGAAAGTGCAGGGAAAAAAATTGCACATCTATTGAAGAATCAATAATCATGGAAACTGTATCAATATTCTATACTTATGTTTTTGTATGTAAAGCCTCCATCTCCCTTCCTACTTCCCTCCGTCCCTCCCTCAAGGCAGGCTTGAGAAAAGCTGCCCAGCATGGATCAAAGCTTAAGGAAAAAAGGAAGCTGAGCAGGGCAGCAGTCTAATGGTTGGGAGACTAGTTACATACAAGAGGATAGAGCAAATAAATAAATATACTGAGGATAATGAGATCTAGGCTTCTTGTTGTCAGGGAAGTGAGTTACAAATATGCCAAGAGGAAAGCTAGAATGAACCCTATAGTGTTGGATTTGAATTAGTGGTATTGGTGTGAATTCATGGTTTTAAATATTTTTAGATACAGAAATATAGAGGGGTGTCTGTACTCACAGAGCGTACAATTTAGTCAGAGGAGACAAAATAACTGTACCTCCAGGATACTGTAACTGGAAGAAATTTGGGCTATGTAAATAACAATAAAACTAAGAATCTACAGAACAATAAAAATTTGCTCCTCTAACATTCATTGTAACAGTTTTACTGTGCAGAGAGAAATTTCAAATGCACATTTTTCATTTTAAAGTGTTCATAACTCATATTTAAAATGGGACTTTATGCTTTTTTTATTTCATTCATATCTTACTGCTATATATACTCAAAAATTAAATGTCTTTTACATTGTTTGCTTGTGTCTTCATAATACCTTCAAACTCATGATCACTTGTTTCTTTGTAGTAACGTGACTGTACTTGTATCTTTTTAATAAGTTTGAAATAGTCTGCAAGCAATTCAGTTTGCAGAAAGTCCATCTTTTTAGTACATTTTCGAAGTGTTGTTTTTCCTTTTGAAGGAAAAGGATCCACTATTGGAAGAATAGCCACAATGTAATGTTGCTACCAACTCGGTAGAGGGTGCTGCAACTTAGAGATGAAGAATAGCTTTGGGATAAATACTAGTAAAAACAGAGAGGGAGATGCAGGCAGGAGGAGATCAAAGGAAAGAAGGAAGATTAGTGGGTCTTTATTTTTTTAGTAATCAATATAATAGTTATGGATTCC